CAGCTCCCATCGCTGCACACACCCTGGGCGGGTTTGGGGGGGCATGTACCCCTGGATCTGCATGCGGGGCAAGGGCAGGCTGCCTCTGCGGGCTGGGGCAGCACCAGGCTCTTCCTAGCGGGGGGCTGGACCAGGGCGGTGCTTGGGGCAGGCAGCAGCTGCACTGGGCAGGGAGTGGCACTGAGAGCTGCACTTGTAGTCACCTCCCAGTGCCACTGCCTGCTCTGAGAGCAGCCCCAGCCCAACCCCCCTGCTGGGAAGAGCCCCTCACTCCGATCTGGGAGCACACTCCTCCCTATGCCCTCCTGGGGTGCATGCAGTGGTGGGAGCCATCCCCCTTTAGGTCCCCCCTGGATGAGCCACTCAGCTCCGTCCTGCGCCCCACCCTGCCCTGGCTGAGCAGTGCCTGCCCCAGCCCCACTCCCTCTCTCACTGTGAGGGCCTCGGTCTGCCCTCCCCACATCCCTTCTCTCCCCCTGCCCCTTCCCCCACAACAGACTTACTACCAGCCAGATGCTGCTCTCCTTGCTGCTGGGCTGCGCTCCTGACTGTGTGCATGCATGGGGCATTTATTAGCCACATTATTGGCCATATCAGGCAAAAAAAGCCAATTTCTAATGCTATAAATTTTCCCTATATCAGTGCCGATCCAATATGGGACTGATGTAATGGTGCACCTCGAATAAAATTTGGAATTAAGCCTTGGAACAAGGACTGGAACATAGATGTCTCCTTTCCTCCTTCCTTAGGTGAGTCCCCTCACCATGAGCTTACACAGCTATGCTCACCAATAGGAAGGGAGAAGAGCACTTCACTCTGGATTTTGTTACTTGTTACACTGTTAAGTCCTACAAATGTTGATTGGTGTTAGTGCTAGTTTCAAGTGTTAAGAAATCCAGGAGCCACCCAAAATTACTGTTATAAGGCCTTCTCACTCCATCCTACTGTACAGCATAGTATCTGGGGCACTTTCCTGAGAGGTGGCCTGGAATTCTTCCAGGCTGAAGAAGAATATTATACCCAGGTCTCCCATAGCCTGGTTAGAGTTCCCAAACTTCTGGCCTATTGTATAAAACGGGTTGGTGCAAGCAATGCTATTGCCTGCTTCAGTGTTTTGAAATGAAACATGATCACTCAGATTTTGATAGAATGTGATAGCTATTGAAAACAAGGGGCTATACACATGATCCAGGGTGGACGGGGGTGCTTTAATTTGAATGGCTCCGAGAGCCACTCAGATGGTGCTGCAGGTGCTTTAATTAGTATTCAGCATCCCATGCTTCAAAATGGGGTGGCGGGAGCTTTAGCTAAAGCACCCCACTGCCATTTTGAAACATGGGGGCACTGAATACATGCTAAACAGAGACTGCTGGAGTGTGCTAATTAGCACACTCCAGCAGACTCATAGCAGACTTAATTGAGTCTGCTCTGACGCATGCTAATCAGTACGTATTGGAGCAGACGTCCATCATGTGTATAGGTGCCCAAAATTTGCAGCTACTTTCAGGAAAGAACTTGGGGCTGTGCATCCCAAAAGGAAGGGAAGCGGCTGAGTCTGGTGTAGCACTGAATTAGGTGCCTTTTTAAATCCTTAAAGCAGGATTTAAGACGTATTCCTCTCTTTGGAGTTTCTCATTGCTTATCTCTAGGCAGCTCTGTACCCAAGCTGCCAGTTGTTGTAAAAGATCATTTTCTGGGGCACCAAATGCTCTCCAGCCTACGTGCCCAGCTCAGGTAGAGCTAGGAGAAGCCACTGGAGCACAGAATGTTGGTAAACTGAGTTCAGCATGAAAGCATATTTAAAGCCAAGGGAAAGGCTTCTTCATTGAAGATATCCCTGCTTGCTACTTAGGGTGCAGACAGAAGTTATGGTTGTCATGTGATTGGCCCCCTGAAAATACTCTTCAGCTGTGCTGTGACACATGCATGGCTACAGAGTGTTTTTGAAGTGGCCAATTGAACAAAAAATTAACCGGCATCAAATGAGGGATCAGATGAAGGTGCTCCACTTTAGAGCACCTTAGGATATTTGTGTTCCTAAGGTGCTGGCAACTTGCTACCCCCTTCCCCCTGTCTTGTCCCTTCCTGCAGACAGCTCCAGAGCTTGGGGGGTGGCAGGACTGGGGGAGAGGGGCAGTTCCTTAGCTACAGGCAGGTTTCTTGGGCTCCTGCAGGCAGGATGTTGAGTTGGGGAGGGGGGGACAGGGATGCTTTCACTCTTGGCCCTTTATGTAAATCACCATGAGTCAGAGTGGGAGCCCGTGCATCTGTCAGTGCCCTTACTGATTGTCTGCAAATGAATCTGCTTAGAGAGGCTGCTTTTGAAATACTTTGCAGCTCATAATAAAAGCTAAACGCTAGGTTACATTCATATAAACTGCTCACAGGCATGTGTCAGCCTGGGTATCTGAATGCATGGTGGATATCTTGGCCTAATTTCTCTGGGTATGAGGATAATGTTACCTTTTTGCCTCCTGAGAGTGCTGTGAATATAAATCCATTAACATTTGTGAAGCAGCCAAGTCCTGCAGTCATGAGCAGCACAGAAAAGCCCAACGAGAGGAAATGAATAATTCTGTCTGTGGGGTTGATTCTGAGAAGTACACAGAAAACAGGCCCAGAGCCACCCAGCCCACAACAAGGAGCAAAGAGAACATTGGGTGGCTACTGATTAACTGAGCACCATTCCTATTGTGCACTGAATGAAGCAGGAGCCTCATGGAAGAAAAAGTCCAAGATCATATAATTAATGATGGTATCATACACACAAGAACACCTAACTGATGTTGTCCGGTGGATCTCCACTTTGATATCTCCTAACTTCAGAGTGCTTTGTAATCTTAATGTTCACCTAGCGTGTTTGTCTGTGCATAGGTATGTTATTTCCTAGATTTTGAGAGAGACAAACGGGAAGAAACAAATGTTCCATTCTGCGGCACTGTATGATCACCTCATGAGTCATCAGCAAAACTCGAGTCATTAGCTTATAGACCTCTGCTGCTTGAGATGCAGCTGTAACTAATAGCAGGAGTGGGCTGTGAGGATGAGAGTTAAAGAGGAGTGAGTCACACCATTTGTCCATAGGTTTTTCAGTTTGGTGCTGGCAGTAGTGGAATGGGGTAGCTTGGGGCTCTTGCATTTTACCCGGGCTCTAAAGGTATGCTGTTATGGTCACGTGTCCTTCTGCCACTTCCCTATGTGCTTGGATGCTTCCTCCCTCTTCCACTTCTCTCCCATCCATTTGGCGCTCAGTCCCAGACTTTTTGCCCAACCACTCTCATCCTTCTGTTCTCATGACAGCAACCTGCCTAAGCCTCTTTGCATTGTCTGTAATGGGTTCCCTCTCTCCTGTGGTCCCAATTATAGTCTCTTTACTCAGCCAGTCTCTGCCTCATCCCAGTTTGTAGATACAGTCTGCTGCATCACAGCTCCCAGGCTCAGTTTCCAACTCCCCAACTGCCATCAGAATCTGTCTGAATCTACTTTTTTCTTTCTCTCTCTGGTCCAGTTCTTGAATTCTCTCATTGAATTAGATATCTTCCTCCTCTGTCATGCTTGAGTGCTGACATGGTTGGTCAATGAAGGGCCAGTTTCTGCCATCCCTAGAGGACCTGGGAGCAGCAATTACAGGGAAAGTCTCTCTCTCTCTCTCTCTCTCTCTCTCTCTCTCTCTCTCTGTGTTCTAGTATTCTGGAGCTGGAACATTATCAATGACTCTGTGGGGATGGGACATGCCCACTCTGTAATGTATAAGGCCTGCAAGGGAGGTAGAGCATGCTCAGTGTGAGTGAGATCTTCAGCAATTCTGGCTACCTTCTAAGCAATCTGTACTGAGCTGAGATCTTTCAAAGGCCAAACTTTCAAACTTGGCAAAAATTAGGAGGTTTCTCACATATCTGACACCAGAGCCACCTCTACCTCATGCACACATACCCCTCATTGTCACTTATGTCTCCATAGCAGAGGGATGCTAGAGCTTCTCAGAGAAAAAGTCACCAGAATTTTTTTTTTTTAACCTCACAAAACAAAGTGTATGTTCCTGGTCTGGTTCTTGAAAACAGCTGAAATGATTTGGCACAAATATTTTTTAAACATTCTGTTGGATGTAGAAGCTCAGCTTGGAAAAAAGTTTGGTGCTGTAATAAACAACTCAAATCAGGGGTTAGCATGAGAAATGGTGGGTAGGGCTGGCAAATTTGCTCCGAACCGGAGCAGGTGAGACCCAGGATGTTCCTGCTCCCCTCTGCAGCTCTGCTCTGTTGCAGCAGCCAGGGGGAGCTCCAGGCTCCCCTGGGTGCCAGCCCAGGGCTGGCAGGGGCAGGAAGCTGGTGAACTGCTGTGTCCCAGCCACGTGGGATCAGACCCAATCCCCATGTGACCAGGAGGGGTGTCCCCACAAGGACACTACTTAGCAGCCACAGGTCCCAATCCCCCCACATGATGGGGAGAGGAGTCCTTGCCTTGGGGGATAGCCATGTGAGGGATCAGGAGGGTGCCAATCTCCACATGGCTGGGAGAGGCATCCCTGCCTAGCAGGGATTCTGTATGGCAGCCATGTGGGGCTCAGGAGGGTCTGCTCCCCTGCTCCTGTTCTAAGCCCCTCATGGGGCTTAGCCAGGCAATAGTAGGCCCCCTACTGCCTGGGCAAATTGCTCCTGGCCAACATCTTTGCAGTAGCTAATGCACAGTTAATCTACTACCTGTATTTTCAGGTTGTAAATAACTGCACATTAGCCTATTACCTGTGCGCTAGGCTGCTGCACAGTACAAATAGTGACACTTTACTGTGCAGTAATTAGTCTACTGCGCTGTAAAGCATCTCAGGTAGACATACCCACAACGTCTTTATACTTTCCAGAGAGAAATCTTCCTTTATGGGAGTTATGGTTAGAGAAGTGTGTCATCTTTCCACCCACCCTCCCCTATGAAATCTTTAAAGCAAGGGGATGCTACCTTGTGATTCATCATTTTATTTCACTGTCACCCACACATCACAAGGAATAACATTCCTTCTGTTTCCAACCGATAAGGGAACAGATTAAACTCAACGTATTTGGCTGCCTACACACATGCTTGTTAGCGTTTTAATTAGAATGCATTTCTAATTAGAATGCTCCAGTGTCGCTGCAGCGTCTTGTGTATTAAGCCCCTTCATGTTTTAAAATGGCCACAGCATGCTTTATCTAAACCTCGTTAAATGAAGTTTACATAAAGCATCCTGTGGCCATTTTTAGAAGTGTGGGGGCTTAATACACATGCCAATGAGGTGTTTTAATGAGAGCAGTTGTCCGTGAACTGTTCTAATTAAAATGTCCCCCTACCTCACTTCTAGCACATGTATAGGCAGCCTTTAATTCCCTCCCTTTAGAACCTGAAACCTTCAACTAAATCCCCAAGCTCCTCCACAAGAACATCACATGTTGATCACTTGGCCTCGATGAAGTATTTATCTAGTGTCTGTCATTGGCTATCCAGTCACCTCTCAAACTGACATACTTATTGCTACCACACCCTTGTATAATATGAAAGTGCTGTTAACCTCCATTTCTACAAAGGAAGCAGGGTACCAAAGAAGCCACCTATTTTTCCCACCTATTAGGCACATAAGTGGATTTAGGTATCCAAAGATAATTCTGTTTCCCCCTACTGGAGTCCCTGAAAAACAGTTAATGCAAAAGGTATATGGGTTGTCCTTCTCCTCACTACTTTTTTAGTGACTCAATCTTAAGAGTAAAATGATGGTGTGTTACAAAAGTAGGCTCATTAAGGATTTTTCAGGTGTTTGAACAGAGTGGAATAAAATTGCACTTAGGTACTTAAGTCAATCTGGACACCCAACAAATGGAACAGAAACGGGCCCTAAATGACTTGCCAAGGTTGCTAACTGGGTATGTAGAAAGTAGGGCTTTGAACCTGAATATAGGTGGTTGGGAGTGAGGTGGCTGAGGGGTTTAGCTTTTTCATCATGATTCTGGAGGTGAGTTCAGGCCCTGCTCTGTAGTTTGTGCCAATGGCTGCTCTCAGCTGCAAATGGAAAGCTGGTCATTTGGGTTGTGGAGTCAAAGATGGCCAGATGTAGTGCTGGCCACATTATTTCCTTGTGTGCGGTTGGCTACAGAGACTGGTGTGCCTTAACTGTAGTGATTTAAGGGGTCTCTTGGCTTGGGAGGACCCTCAGTTTGAGAGTTAGTTGGAATTTTTTGCTCAACAAAACAATTATTGTCAGAAAAATTTCACTTTGTGGAAACCAGAGACAGGGTTATTTAAAAAAACATGAACAAAAAAAACCCTTTAAAAAGGTCTGATCTTTTTGCTTTGACATTACAAACTAGAACCTGTTGCTGGTCAACTGAAAAACAACTTGGTCATATAGCCCTTTTGCTTAATTTTTTATAAGAAATGGCTGACATGAAAACTAACATATAGAATGTATAGAAATGGAATATTTGGCTGGACCTGCTCTGAAATCAGAGGATTGATTTGCAAATATTTGCCAGGGGTTGTTTTTTTATTCCAAATTTGGGACAGGAAAAGTCATTTAATATTTCAAAAAGTTTTGTGGGATAGGAAAACCCAAGCCTTAATCCTGAGTTACAGAAGAACAGCTCTGCCCTCACATTTCTGTCCCCAGTGCACCTAGCTTAACCAAGAGCGCTTGCCAGCATGGTTGAGGTTGCAGTTAAAAGTTTAGTGTTATACGGTTGACAGTGTTGTACCTTCCCGGACGTGTCCAGACCTTATAGGCTGAGCAAGAGGAGACATGATCCCAGGGATCTGCTGAAATATTATCATGGGTTGTTGGGGCACCTAGAAGACAATGCAATGGGCAGAAGTTAATTCTAGTAGGTAAGGCAAGCTGGTGCCACCACAGCACAGTGAAATTGCTGGCATGGAGGGGTTGGTGGGGGGTTCAGGTCGAACCTCAGGGGTTCTTCCTTATTGTTAAGATAGCACAGACCCCCTATTCCTACTGGCTGGTTCAGAAAGAGCTCAGGTACTCTGAATGAGGCACAGAAGTATGAGAGGCAGAGCAAGGAAGCACATAAAAGATTTGGAGAGAGATGCACAAGGCAAGAGGGACAAATGGTCAGGGAGGCCATGACATTCAGTCTGGTGTTGGAGTGTCTTGGTGGGCTGGGCCTGCTCCTGACACTGAGGGGTTCCCCATGCCTCCAGCCACACTCCTCACTGCTCTTGTGGGAGCAGACGAAAGGCCATGCTGTCTGGGCTCTGCCAGGGCCTGGCCACAGGTCAAAGGCCAGGTGCCTTTGGCTGGATCCTATGGCGTGTGGGGGAAAGCGGGGCAGAGCTCTAGGTTGAGCCATTGGAGAGCAAGCATCCCCTCTGAGCACAGGGGTATTGAAGCCTGAGCAAATGAAAGACTGAGGGACAGGGAGGTTGGCCTCCTCCAGCCCCATTCGCTGTGCTTGTGCTAATGCTGGTCTAGCACAGGGGTGTCCTTAGCCACCCTCCATACATGAGGAGGGTTCTGCATGATGCTTGGGGTGACCACCTTTTCAAAATGCAAAAGTGGGACACTATGCTTTCCTGCCCTGCTCCACACTTCTGCGCCAGGTCCTGTTCCCTGGGCTGTGGAGGCCTAGCGGGGAGGGCAGAAGTGTGGGGAGCCCTGAGTCTGCAGCAGGCAGCCTCCATCTGCCTCCACCCCATGCACAAATCTGGGTGCGGGGAGCATGTGCCTGTCCCATGCCCAGGAATGCACTCAGGAGCGGGGAGCCAGTCCCCCTGCTGCACAGCTGCCTGTGGCTCTGTCCTGCTCCCTGACCAGACCCCACAACCATCTGGGCCACATGTACTGCCCTGGCTGGGTAGCAACTCCAGCGCCAGCCTTAGCTGCCAAACCTGCTCCACCTTCTTCCCCCGCCCCCCCTCCCAGCACAGCATTGCCTATGCCCCCTCCCCTCCCAAACACTTATCTGCAGGCAGCTAGGGCAGCTGCTCTCTCCTGCTCCCTTGCTGTATTGCTGTTCTTGTGCGTATGTGCATGTGCACACATGCATGTGGTGCCCTCTGCATTCCACTCCCCTCAGCCCCAAGCACCTCCTTGCAGGCTGGGACTCTGCTAACCTGCAAGGGGAAACCTGCTGTTTCCATGTTTTTCTCCTTCAAAGGAGAAAATCTGCATTTTTCCGCAGCGAATGGAAAACCGGGATCCTTGCACATGATACTGGGATGATAGTTGCTATGGTTTGACTCTCTTGAGGGGAATCCAGGACAAATGCTGTCCCAGAGTCATGCAGCCTGGGACTGGGACTTGATGTTTACATTTTCAGGACTGTCCTGTCAAATTAGGGATGTGTGGTCACCCTAATGATGCTCTAGAGCAGTGGTTCCCAACTTTTTTTTACCGCAGACCAGCACAGGAGCAGGACAGGGCACATGGAGCCGGCTGTCTCCCTCCTGGGGCTGCCCTGCCGCCTAGCACATGACTGCCAGTGGCAGAAGCTGCTCACCCAGGCGGACAGGCGGGAATTCACACGGGGGCTCGTGCCAAGACCCGGCAGCCAACCCTTCGCAGCCCAGTACCAAGCCGTGGTCCGGTGATTGGGAACCTCTGCTCTGGGGGGGCACCTCACCATGAGCTCCCATGCACCTAACCATTTCAAACAAATGCCCTCTGCAACCAGGTTTTCCCTTCCCCTCAATCCCCACACTTTACAGCAGTTCTTCCCCTAATAGCCTCGCCTTGCCTCAGTCTCTCCTTGGATTCACCTCATGCTTGCCCCAGTCATGAGGTGCCTTTCCAGTCTCCTGGAGGTGGATGCTGATGACCAGGGATCCTAATTTCATAGTTGGTAGGGTCGGAAGGGACCTAAGTAGGTCTTCAAGCCCGCCCCCCTGCCATGGGCAGGAAAGGATGCTGGGGTCAAATGCCCCCGGCTAGGTGATTATCTAGCCTCCTTTTGAAGACCCCCAGGGTAGGAGCCAGCACCACTTCCCTTGCAAGTTGGTTCCAGATCCTAGCCACCCTGACTGTGCAGTAGTGCCTCCTGATATCTCGCCTGAATCTACTCTCCGACAACTTATGGCCGTTATTCCTTGTTACTCCCAGTAGTGCTTGGGGGAACAGGGACTCTTCCGCTGCCTGCTGGTCCCCCTTGGCCAGTTTATAGACAGCCACCAGATCCCCTCTCAGCCTTTTCTTGTGGAGGCTGAACAGGTTCAGGTCCTGTAGCCTCCGCTCGTAGGGCCTGCCTTGCTGTCCCTTGATCATGTGAGTGGCCCTCCTCTGGACCCTCTTGATGCTGGCCACATCCCTCCTGAAGTGTGGTGCCCAGAACTGGACGCAGTACTCCAACTGCGGCCTGACCAGTGTCACATAGAGGGGGAGGATCACCTTGGACCTAATCGCGATGCATCTCTGGTTGCATGACAAGGTGCAGTTAGCCTTCCTGACTGTGTCCCCACATTGGTGGCCCATGACTTGGTGGCCAATAATGACTCCAAGATCCTTTTCTGCTTCTGTGCTGACAAGAAGGGAGTTCCCCAGCCTGTAGGTATGCTGCTGGTTCTTCCTCCCCAGGTGCAGTACCTTGCACTTGGCAGTATTGAAACCCATCCTGTTCTCATCTGCCCACCCCTGTAATCTGTCCAGATCTAATTGCAGACTGTCTCTGTCCTCTAGCGTGCCCACTTCTCCCCACATCTGAGTGCCACCCGTGAATTTGAACAAGGTGCTCTTCACCCCCTCGTCCAAGTCGTCCAATCCTGGTTTTCTCCAATTTAAAAAAATCCCAATTTTCAGGTTAAAAAAAGTAACCCCAAATCCACATTTTCCTGTAGTTAAACTGAAATCCACTAATATATCTCCAGGCCCTGGATCTAGCTGGTGCCAGCTAATCAGGAGGGGATCAAGGAAACAGTGCCCTTACATGGCTCCATCTCAAGGACTTACTGGTTGTTGGATGATCTGGAGCCCTGGTGGAATCTCACCCCAGGTCCCGCTGGAATCTTCAGCTGCTCCCGAATTCATGCTTCAGGCTCAGCTCTGCTGTGGAGTGAGCTCTCAGCAAGGGACTGGGTGTTGGCAGTTAACTAGAGCATAGCAAATCAGTGGCCCAACACCACGGCTAGTTGCTATAGGTGCTGTGCCTAAACAAACCTGCCCCAGAAGCACTGCAGCCAGGGGAAATCACTTCAGCAGGGCTGTGCCAGTTCCTCGTGATCCCAGCAATACAGCCAAACCTGAGTGGCTGTCACTGGCATGCTGTGCTGCCATGCGGCATACCCCTGAGAGGTCAGGGTCAAAGCTAGCCATGGCACTGAATGTGTGTGGGGGCACAGGGCATGAAACTTCCACATTCACCCCCTGGGCAAATGGTTACTCTTGTAAAAGCAAATATTCGCAGACACAGGCAGGAGGTTTGCAGTCTGGCTGCAAGTGTGTAAAATTCCCCCTCTGGGCCCCTGCAGAAGAGTCTGCTGCATACAACCTGAGCCCTGAAGTGTGGTGACAAAGGGCTAAAATACAGGCCATACCTCAGTAAATCTTGAAACTCATTAAGGGAGCAAAGTTTTCTCTAGGGTTAGGCTCCCGTGCCCTGGGCCGGCACAACCCCCTACCATAAAAACAAGGGCCACATTTTCTCTTAGGGGTTTAGATGCCTCATTCCAAACCTGATGTTGCCTGTTTGCATTTTTATGTCCTAAACGCCTTTAAAAATCTATCCCCCCCCCCACATTTCTTGAGGTTTGCTTACTGCAATGTTGATTTTACCTAAGGATTTGTGATCTATCTGTGGTTCCTAGAGGCCTGGAATCCTATGATCAACATAAGAATCTCAACTTTCAGATAAAAAAATAAGGTAGGTTTCTGGTGCTTGTGGTTGCAGAGAAAAGGTAGAAAATTTGACCCTGTAATGGCCAAAACCCAGGAAGTAGAAAGAGATCCAATGCTATTACTTCTTAAGCTAATGAGTTTTGAGGAACTTGAAATTAAAAAAAAAAAGAAAAAAAAAAGGTTTTGCGTGCTTGTGGGTGGCAATACTGAAACTAATGTTCCTAGTTACTCCTAATAATTTTTCCAATGCCCTTTCCCAGGATGCACTGGAGCCCCTGGATAATGTTCCAGAAACACCCTAGAGCAGTTGGGGGTCAACCTTTCAGTAGATGTGCCACAAATTAGCCTCACCTCCTCCCCCTAATTCCGTTCCCTTGCCCGCTCTGTTGCTCTTTCTGCTCCCTGCCCACTATGGTGCTCTGCTTTCTGCTTCTTGCCCTAGCTGCCATTCTGCTGCCCTGATCTGCCACATGCCACACAGAGGCTGCCTGTGCCAACTAAGCACCCATGCTACAGGTTGGCCACTCCTGACCTAGGGACTAGTCTCTGCTAGGGTCCTTCCAAGGTTTGTCTTAGGACCATAAAAAATACAGGCCCAGGACAACAGAGTAGGTATGTACCAGAAAGAGTCAGGTCTGTTTGTTGCTTTACAAAAAGCGTGGGGCAATGCCCACCAAGTAAACTATTAGCCTCCCTTAAACAGGAAGGCTACTAGAAAGGCAGCAACTAATTGCTTGGGACAGCTAAAGATGTAATAGGGATGGGAGTGAAAGTTAAAGGTTAATAACTAGCATGCCAAGGGGGGACACCAAGCAAAGCACACCAGACATTGCCTACTGGCCCCTGAATGATTCCAGGGAGCCAGTGGACACTGTCCAGCAATACTCTGCCTAGAGACAGGATCAAACCAGGGTCAGAAAAGCAGCCTTGTGGTCCCCAGGGGTTCTCCTGGGCGGTGCCTCCTACCTGGTGAGATATATCACTAGCTTAGCCAGCACCAGGACAAGTTTGACTAGGAAGTTCTGGGACTTGGCAGGACCATGGATGGAGGGGAGTGCATAAATAAACAGCTGAGAGGAATAGTGCAGCCAGAACTTCAACAAGCGGCAGTGAAGGAGATGCAGCCTGGTACACGCCAGGTAGGTGTGTGCCAGGGTCTCCCTCTGCTCACAGAAGGGGCAGGTGTTGGGGGCATCTGTGAATTGTGCCAAATACACCCTGAAGGCGACGGCTCTGTAGAGGCACCACCAGCTGAGGTCCCCAGTGACTCATGGAATTAGGGTGGAGTCAGATTTGTCCACCAGTAGGGTGGCCATCATAGAGGACATTCCGGTTGTCCTCTGTCATCTATTGATAGAGGACATAAAGGCATCCAGTTTCCTATTTTTCTCTGTGCTGGCTTCTCTCACGACCTCCCAAAAAACATTTCCATCTGCCGTCCTTGAGGAAAACTATCCCTCTCTCATGCCTGCACCTCCATGCAAGAAAACTGTCCTGTCACTCTGGCTTACTCTCAGTCAATGCTCCGGTTCCCCTTCCAGTGGTGGGGAAGGGACCTCCGTCCTTCCCGCCTCGTTCTCCCATCCAAAGTCCTTAAGTATCAATTAACAAACTCCCGGTCAGCTCCATCGCCGGTCTGTGAATCCTTAATTGGCAATAGACAAGTTTCCTGATCAGCTCCACTGCCGGTCTGTGAGTCCTTAATTGTTAATTAACACATTTCTTGGGCTGCTCCATAACAGGGCCATTGGCTCCCTGTTACACACCTCCCCTTTTAGTCGGAGCTCCCTCATTTTGATCTTCCTGTCTGGGGCATCGCTTCGTGTTTTCTCTGTCCACTTCTCGTTTTTGCTGTAATTCATTCTCATTAGTTGTAGATCCAGACAATAAATCGGCCACTATGTTCTTCTTTCCCTCAAGATATTCTACTGTAAAATGGAATGGCTGTAATGCAAGGGCCCATCGCATTATCCAGGAGTTATCAGTCTTTGCGGTTTGTAACCACTTCAATGGTGCATGATCTGTAATCAGTACAAACGTCCATCCTAATAAATAATACCTAAACAGTTTGATTCCACACTGGATAGCCAGGCACTCTTTCTATCATTGAATATCTGGTCTCTGGTTTCGAGAATTTTTTGCTCGGATATACTATCTGTTGTTCCTCACCCTGCCATTTCTGGAACAGGACTGCCCCCATAACACACCCTAATGCATCTGTCTGTAAAAAAAAAAAAAAAAAAAGGGTTTCCTGAAACCTGGGTGTGTATAGGACTGGTGCCTTGCAGAGTAATTGTTTGGTCTCCTCAAAAACTCTTATTGCGGGTTCCGGCCAGTTTAACAGTTGAGGCCTCCCCTTCGTCATGTCTTTAAGCGGGGCCACTATCTCCGAAAAGTGTTTGATGAACCTCCTATAATCATTTGCGAACCCTACGAACAACTGCAGTTGTCTTATGGTCCTTGGTAAACTGTAGGCCTTATATGGCCTCTACTTTATCCGCTAGGGGCATTACTCAACCCTGACCTATTTGGAAACCTAGGTATTTGGTCTCCTCCTGCCCCAAGCTACACTTCTTAAGGTGTGCTGTTAGCCCTGCCTTTTAGAGTTCTTGCATGACTGCCCATAAATGCTGGCAATATTGCCTCCCAGTTCTGTGAAAATACTATAATATCACCAATATATGCCGAGCCGTAATTTTGATGAGGAGCCAACGTTTTATCCATCAAGAATTGGAATGCCGCCGCCGCCTGTGAAGACCAAACAGCATTCATTTAAATTGAAATAAACCCCACAGGGTCCCAAAGGCAGTTTTTTCTTTATCTCTATCATTCGTAGGTATTTGCCAATAACCTTTTGTCAGGTCCAAGGTTGATATATACTTGGCCTGACCAATTTTTTCCATCATTTCTTCTATCTGTGGCATAGGGAATGTGTTGAAAGTCACTACTTCATTTACCTTTCTAAAATCTACACAAACTCATATGGTGCTGTCTGTCTTTAGCACTGTCACCAGCGGGCTCCACCATGGGCTCCTGGATTCTTCTATAATCCCTGCCTCCAACACCCGTGTGATCTCATGTCTCACTGTGTCCCAAAAATGCTGGGGTAACCTCCTCTGGTGGTCTCTTACCACGCACCCTTCTGGTATCCTAATATCGTGTACTACCCCCTTTGCTCTCATGGGTTTGGCTTTGAATACATTGGAGAATTCCAATATCAGTCACGTTACTTCTTCCTTCTGGCCCACTTACAGTTTGTCACCTACCTGGGGTTCTCCTGGCTCAAATGCCGCTATCCTCGGATCCCCCACCTCATCCAAATCTCCTACGTCCTCTTTCATCAACCATGCCTCTCTACCATTCCATTTCTTTAACAAGTTAATGTGGTAGTTTGGCTTCCTCCTGACTGGTTTGGTCCTTTGGACCTCATAATTCACTGGCCCCAATTGTCTAGTCACCTGGAATGGGCCTTGCCACCAGGACAGTAATTTATGGCTGTTGTCTGGCAACAACACTCGAACCCAATCTCCCACTTGTAAATATCTCTCCCTAGCATGGGTATCGTAATTTAGTTTTTGTCTTTGTTGGCTCAGTCCCAGGTTCTCCTGTGCCACTGCTTGGACCCTTTCTAACCATTCTTGAAAATCACACGCAAACTGGGGCTGTTTCATTCTTTTGGGGTGTCCCTCAGACCACCCCTCACATAGAATATTGGGCAGACCCCTTGGCTTATGTCCGTAGACTAGTGCAATCAGGGTGCACCCTGTAGAGGCCTGAGGGGCCTCTGATCGCAAACAATAGCAGGGGCAACAGAGACTCTCACTTTCGTGAATCTTCCTGAATGCATGGCTGTAGCATACCCTTCAAAGTTCTATTAAACCTGTCAACTAGTCCATCCATCTGGGGATGATAAACTGAGGTTCTGAGATCTTTTATCTTTAGAATCTTACACACTCCCTTCAGTACTCCCGACATAAATGTCTTTCCTTGATCTGTTAGAATTCCTTGGGGAATCCCCAGTCTAGATACCCACTTTATTAATTCCTCTGCTACCTTAGGTGCCGTAACATTTTTTAATGATATCGCTTCTGGGAAACGTGTCGTGTAACTAGCACATACTGATACCCTGCCACACTCTTTGGGAACGGTCCCTCAATATGCAAGGCTATCCTCTTAAAAGGACGTTCTGCCTAGGGCATCATTATTAACGGGACTCTCAATGATAACA